GGAGGCAGTTATGCTTTAACATGATGATCTGATGTCTTCCACCCAGTGGAGCCCTCTGCCACAGCTTACGTGACTCATTCTCACTCCTCGGGCATCTGTCTCAGCACCTGCCGATGGGCAAGCCCCATGAGATCAGAGGCAGTCAGGAAAGCTGTGAGGTGGAGAAGAGGGCAAAGAGACCAGGCTCGTGGCAGGAATCCCTACTAACTAAGAGTGATTCCCACGAGTGAACTCTCTTGATTCATTTATTTTCAGCAGGGCACCGAGATGCCCAGCTCTCTTTTTTCCCCCAAGTTCTCTATAGCTTTAAAAGTTGGAGCCCTCATGACTCTGCAGTCCAATATTTCCTAGCATCTTCTCGTTTTGGTGATTTCTGGCAGTTTGGTCACTTGTCACCTCCCGAGAGAAGCATCTGGCAGACGTCTCCCCTAGCAGTCCCTCCCGGCTCTGCCGCTGCTTGGCAGAGGCCTCGAACCACATTCCCCACATGTCCAGACGAGCACCTGGCAAAGGCATCCAGAGATATAGAACCTGTTATTCTAAAGGTTTAACATACTGCTACAAATCAAAAATAAAAGCAGTGTTTTAAAGAACTAATTCAATGGATATACGATTATTTGGTACTTTATTATCTATTTCGTTGTGTGTGTGCACACGTTTTTTATATCTACACAAGTGTGTGTACTTATACAGCATGAATGAGCTTTTTTGTTTGAAATAATCCAGAATTCCTGTTTTTAAGTCCTTTATTTGACACACACTTTGCCCAGACAAAAACCAGAGAAGGCTCGGTTTGGGCCGAACAGTTTTGATTTTCTTGTCTACAGAGGCAGCATAACAAGTCCATGATCAGTGGTGAAGGGAAGGCATTTATTTTCACTGTATTTTGTAACAGTTTACTGAAGATGACTGTCCAGGGATGCTACTATTGGAAGAGAAATCAACTGCAAGAAACTCAGCACTTCAAAGACTTATGATGACCCCAGGAAACAGAAAAACACACTTAAGCCAGTCGCCACTCGAGATTGCCCTTTCTTCTGGGAAATAAGAAACTGAGATGCAATGTCTGTATCAGCCTCATCTCAGAATCCATAAATAATTCATGGAAGTTGTCAATTTATTTATAAGATAGGTGGCCAAGAGAGAGTTCTTATTGTTTACCAATAACACGGCCCTGGAAACTCCATCCTATTGAAATTATTCCTATTCTTGGCAGGAATAACTTGTGCTAAGGGGTTATCCACACCCTTTTAAAAACATGCCATTGATTTTGCATAACTAATGTGAACACTGAAATGGGTATTCTTTAGAGGCAAGTGTGAACAGAGACCAGGTTTTCCCCAGTGGGAATGTACATGTGGCTGGACCCAAATCTGTGCCACTTGATGACTAAACTGATTTTATACTTTATGCTACAAGGGCATTGTTTCAATTCCACCCCCCCCGACACACGCTATTCTTAATTCAGACAAAATTGTATCTCATAAGTAGAAGTAGCTGCAAATCCATGCCCTGCCAATGACATAGGCACCGATTTCTAACAAAAGGCTTGTAAACTCTTTTTATGATACTGTAAAACTAGAGAGCTCATGCCCATTAAAACATAAGCTTCATGTTACATGTAATTAAGGCAAGAGGAGAACATAAAAATGTAAGCTTTAAAATGTATCTTGTATTACATATTAAATGGACACAGAAAAATACTGCATAAGTTTCATTTTAAAGGCAAAGGTAAAAGCAAGCAGGCATTGTCACAGTAGATGAATAATCCCTTAGGCAAAAAAAACAATTTAGTAAAAAATGGGTTGCTATTTCAAGTTCTCCATATACTATAATATATTGATGATTAGAGTACCTTTTCTGTTTTTCCTGACTATAAATAAGAATGTATCATTAGAGTCACATTCACCTGCTATTTGGTTAATCCAGGTTATCATTTTTAGTCTATTGAAGACTTAAAATTATTATTTAGTTTTTCTTTGGGAATTAGACCCTCCTAAATGACTTATACATTAAGAAGAGGTTTGAAGAGATGTCCAAGAGCTGTCAAAGGCAGCTGGAAAGTGCTTATGGTATGTACCCATCCCACAACCCAGTGGGGAAGGAGTCTCTCCTGGAGTGAAGGCCTGTGCTGTAGCCTCCCTTTCAACCCATCTCTGATTGTGGTGGGCCTCATGGACTAATCTAGGCTGAGTTTGATTCCTTGATTCATTGTTGGCATTTGGTACCATCCATGTATTTACAAGAATTCTGAACCCCAGATCTTCAGCTATTAAAATCTGAAGATCTACTGGAAACCAAAGAACCTCTTGTATCTAAATGGAGGTCAGTGGATGTATGGTTACATTACAACATTATGCTTGCTTTACTTTAAATTTTTTTCTAATATTCAAATTAATGATTTAATTTTAAAAGCAGGCAAATTATGAACCAAATAAATTAAAGACTGTAAAAATAATTAAAATATTGATCTTGATGCCAAGCACTGAGTTTTCAATCTACAGATTTTGAACAGATTTTATCATAAAAAAAGAAAGTAGAAATACAGTCGAGCAAAATATATAAATAAATCACATACCATCACTATTAAATTGTTTAGCTTAGCACTAAAAGCTGCATCAAATTGGTACATTCCATCAGCCAACCATAAGTCACTATACAGTAAAGAATCAATTAAATATATTCATATTTATGAAACCATGTTAATTCTGAATCCTAACATACCAATAATCTATCTTAATTACTTTGCTTTTAAAACATATCTAAACATTTTATGGATTTCATAGGAATGACATTTTCATGCAATAAAAAGTATAGTTTTTTTATTTAATATAATAAAAAGAATCATATGATGGTACACATAAATCATCTAAGAAAGTATCTTGGTTAGAGATATTAAATGTCTACTCATAACCCAATCTATAATGCAATATTTTCCCCAGATATATTACAAAAAGAGTTAGAGAAAAAGACTTTAAAATACTAAATGAAAACAGTTCTTTGCAGAGATGCTACAGACTTGGGAAAAAATGTCAGTCAGCATAAATCAAATTCAAAATCTAATGTACTTAAATACTACTGCTCTGTAGGAATCCTTTATAGTGTTTTCTCTAAAAGTGGCTGTTTTTATTTTGTCCTTACTATTAGTTGTGTTTAAGTATTTATTTTTATTTACATTGCAAATAGACTTAAATATTATAAATACTCTTGATAAATTTTAAGAATTAATATTTTGATTGTGTATCAAATGTGTTAAAGCATAGTGATCTGACATTTAATAGAGCCATAAAGCAAATTCTTTCTATTTCAGCAAACATAAAGAAAACGAATGGAATACCATTTTAGGAGGACTGCATGGTCTATATCAGTTAAAAAAAAAAATGAGTTCTGCAGCCCCCTACACCCAGTGAATGAATCATAAAAGAAATATGGAAGTTGATAATAGCAGTTACTGCAGCAATAAAAACATGATAAAAGGCTCTTTGACAGTATGAAACCTTGGAAGCCCTGCCAAATATAAAATCTAGTTTGTAGGCGCTGGCAGTATCCTGTTATCTTTAGTAGGTCTTTAGGGGTTTCTGACAACTTTTGGTTCATCCCCTTAAGCTGAAGTGATCTATTAAAATGCCTTAGTTTGCAAGAGCGATCAAAATCATTTAAACTTTAAATACACATTCAAATAAACTACAGTAGCATTTTCAGAGCAATTTTTCTTGACACAGTCAAAATGGTGGAATCTGCTGTGCTATTGTTCTATACTTAGGTATATCTGTTTCAAGTTATCAGTTCACATGAACTTAGTTGTTAATATGCTTGTTCATTTTAAAGACGATAATCATAGCTACTGATTTCGATGAAATTTCTTTATAAGATGAAAATTCCTAGAAAAATTTTAGATATTGACTATTTCAGTCTTATGCTCAAATGAAGGAGCCATTAAGACAATTTTAATGAGATCCTAACTCTAATTAGCTATATAGGCTCTTAACCTTATTATTAATACTGCACTAGACACCCCACTTCCTGTGCCAAAGCATTACAGCTTTGAAATAACTCTTACTGGGTTACATAATTTTTGACCTATTTCTGTATGTCTTCTTGGAATTGTTCAGTGAAATGGAACTAAAAGAAGAAACTTCAAGTGCAGAATAGCATTATTTTTTTTTCCTCTATAAACACCACTGGAACTATGTCCGTCTTAAAAATCAGTAATTTCTTCTAACACTTTCTAAGTGGGAATCACTGTTCTGTAGAGAAGACTGCTAGGCATATGGGCAACTAACACAAGGAAAATGGAATGACCCAAATGTAAATCTAACCAGCAGGCAATGATGAGTCCTTTTTCATGTCTATACAGGATCTTATTTGCCTACTTGGGTGGCTTGGCAAATCATACCCTGTGCCTTTAAACACACCCACCTCCACACACACCCACACACCCACACCCACACACAATGTCAACAGTGATGCTTGGAAATGTTTATGCAGTTATTCTTGACTTTTAATATTATAAATGTTTTCTTTTGTTTAGTTTGGATTGGATACTAATAAATTCTTACCAAAAATAATACACTTCCTGTAACTTTCACACCTAAAAATATTAAAATGCCTACTCCTATTTTTTTCCCACTGACATTAGGAACTTGCTCAACACATACAAACACACATCTGCACACACATACACACACACCTACATAAAATGTAGTTTCAATTAAGAAGCAATTAAAATGATTCCTAGAATTTGAGTATCTTGTCTTTAAAAGAAAAAGCTTTTCACTAGAGTACATTATGTTCACAAACTTTGGTCATTGTACAGCAGGGAGTTCATCTGATCATAAACTTAGAGAATATCAGGGTTGGAAGGAACTCTCTAGTTAATCCTGTTTAACCACACTCCAATACTTGAATCCACATGGTAATATCCCTGCCAAGTGGTCACTGTATGTTGTACATCTCCAGTAAAAAAGAAAATAAAAGATACTCTCTGAACACAGACAATTACCAGTAAGACATTTATTAATGACATTATTACAATTGTTTCTAAAACCCATTATTATTTCAACATTGAAGAGGTAAATGCCAGACTAACCTCAGTCGGATGGTTATTACAGTTAGGTTGAAAGTAAATTACAAGAAATACCCACTGACTGTAATACTGTTATAGAGTATATAATAAGTTAAAACATGATGGAGAGGCTGTATAAATTGGCAGTGTTTTATACAATTTTTTTAAAAAAAATCACTGAAAACCTAAAAATGATGCTTACATTAAAGTGTAGACGCTAGAAAAAGCTTTCATATTTAAAGTGAATTCTGTACCATTCTTTTAAAAATTTATCATCTGTAAGATGCAGATCTGTATTGTTTATATCAAGTGATATTTGCATTTATGTAAATATAATTTATGATAGTTAAATATAAATTCATGTTTATCTTCATATAAAAATACATATAAAAATAGAGTATTTAAAGGAGGTGGGTATTCATACTAAGGAACTGATCAATCAAAATAATTTTTTTTGTATGGTAGTGAAATTGAGGTATTTGTGCATTTGGTAATTTCAGCCATGTATTGAATTAACCCTCTCACCGTTTTTTTTTGTTTTTCCCAAAAAGAAAAATAATCCTTTAAAAGCCATTGTAACTGTCAGATGTTACCTCACAACAAAGCATTTGTATAATAAAGAAATTTACCATTCTGAACCTAAAGAGATAGAAGAGGAAGTTCTAAATACTAGAATTAGGTATGTTTTATATGTATGCCACAATTTTAATTGAAAAATAATTTTATGCCTACTCTAAATTTGGATTAGATACGGTTGCTCTGGAAAAATCAAAATATAGATACTAGTAACATAATTCTATTTGTGGACATATACAAATGCTTTCTGCAAAATATGCCTATGCATTTGAAAATACATAATCCTTTGCAAAATATTTACATAAAATGTAATTGTAATTTTAAGTTACATAGGGTTATAATGGCAAAAAAAGCTTTCTTAAGTAATATCATCCATGAAACATACTAAAGTAATACACGAGGAACTATATTTTGTCCTTCACTTTAAAACTATGTATTTCTTCAATTTAGACTGCACTTACCTATCCGAATTCACAGACAGGACCAGGAGGGAATGTTTATGGTAAACACAAGGAGTGCAAAGTTAAATATATTGGTGTTTTAACTAAAAAATATTTTACTTTATATCTCTCTCATAGAATCTCTTCAAATTCCCTTGTGGAGCATTCCTGTTCTTTTCCTTTCAGTAATCAAATTTAAAAAGCACAGGAAGAAATGTTTTTTATAAGCGTTAGATTCTCGAACCCTACGCCATCATAAAAGCCACATTTTCTCCTGGTAAGGAACATAAGCACAACCTCTACTTGCAAGTGGAATGTAATTGCTTTTTCTCCCTTTCAATATTAACATACCTACGGAGATGGTAACAAAACTAAAGTGTACTATCCTGTTTTCCACATAATTCAAGTGTCTTTATTTCTATTTATTAATACAATGCAATACCTGGCCAACAGTGGTTCTGGTTTATAATTATACTTCAAGTAACCTTTTTCTAGGTCTGCCTTACACTCGGAAATAAACTGGTGTTGAAGTTTACACCTTGACTTTATAAAGCTGTAAGAAAAAGTGTTATTATTTCTTTGTTTTAGCTACGTGTGCGCGTCTGTGTCGGTGTGTACCGGTGTGTGTGATCAATCCAAAAGGCATGTGATGCACAAGGTTTGGCTCCTAGACCATTGCCCAGGTGAGTGCCTTGTCTCCAAGCCTGAATTCAGTTCTCCTGCAGAGAGCCTACATAGTCCTTTTTCTTGCGCACATCCTGCTGAGAAGGATTTCAGAACAAACCTGATTTATAGGACCTCTGACATGATATGGTGATTGAAAACTTGTTACAGAGTCTTGTTGTTTGCTTTGGTTGCTGAAATATTTTCCCACAATATGATTCCTTGATCTTTTCATTTTAATAACGTGATATTCTTTGGATAAGTTTGATTTCACTACCTGCAAATAAAGAGCAAGAAAATAGTGAGGCAAAATCAAGAACATTCAAGCTCTGCATAGACAGTAAAACTAACTCTCATATTTGAACAGCATCTTTGCCACACAGATGTTGCCCAAAGGGCATGAATAAGACTTACATAACCAAGAACTAGGGTAACTTATGCTTCAAAAAAGACCAAAGTTGAAATTCAACTTTCCGTTACTTTTCTTAGCTGAGGGCAGCCATCCCCAAAGCAGCTAAAAAACAGTCTCAGATGATTTCTCTACCACATTGCTACATGTGCATGTGTGCGTATCCATGTTTAGGCCAGACACACTAACATACAGATGGACCTAGCACCACAATAAGGAAGGCACTGGTGTGCCTTTACCAGATCACTGATTCAAACATGGTGCTCTAAACCTGTCATGGTGCCCTTGTATAAAATGGCAACAAAAACTATTTTCAGAGAAAAGAAAAGATATTTTTCCATTGCAGACCCATAAGCTGACACCGTTCCAGTTAATGGTTTCATTTCTCTAGGCACTTAGGAAGTTACGGAATCCGGGGAGAAGCCTATGCCTTCTTAAGCTAATAACTTTGTATATTTGTAGATATATATGTAAATATGAGTTTATCTTTAAAAATTTTTTGGATAAGTGGTATTAGAAAGTATTCATAAAGCATAAAAGAATATATAATAAAAAGTTTCCTTCCAGCAATAAGTTAGGGTACACTTTAAAATAACTGAAAGAGTGCAATTGGAATGTTCCTAAGACAAAGAAATGATAAATGCCTGAAGTGATGGATACCTCAATTATTAATACCTTGATTTGATTAGTTCACATTGTATGCCTGTATAAAAACATCACATGTACCCTATAAATATATACAACTATTATGTACTCATAATAATTAAAAAGAAAAAAAATTTCCTTCCTATTTCTGCTCCACACACCTAGTTACTCAATTCCCTCCCTGGAAGCAACATATATTACTATTTTTTTGTGATTTTATTCATGGTTATTTTATGAATATACATACACACCCATCCAAAGAAGCTATATTTATAGTCTATTTGTACAGTTTACAAAAGTTGTCCTGGTGAAGTCCTATAATTATCAGCTTTAATCATCAGGTTAATAGAATTCAGGTTGTTAGCACTAAGGAGCAAGGTGGGGATGAAGGGAAAGAGTGGAGGGAAGGTTTAGAAATAGGAAAAGAGAGGAAGAAAGAAGAGAAAGTATTGATAAAAATGTTTTGGGTGTCTTTATAAATGAATAACAAATTATAAATTTCATTATTTTAATGGTACTATAAAACTTTTTCTGTCAATATTTGGACACATAAACTATTATTGATTACTAATGAAAACAATACTAGTTTGCATAGATTTTTTAATATACTTTGGAATGCCATATAATTATTTAGGTACATATTTTTTGATCCCATATAATAGAGTGCAATGAAAACAGTTCCCCCCCAAAAAAAAAGCTAATTAACATATCAATCACATCAAGTACTTATTTTTCTGTGGTCAGAACATTTGTAATTTACTGTTTTAGCAATTTCGAAATGTACATTATTATTAATTACATACAGTCACCATAATGGGCAATAGACGTCAAAAACCTTATTCTTCCTAGCTAAAACTTTGTACCCTTTGATCAATATTCTCCTATTTTCCCCCACTTTCCAGCCTCTGGTAATCACCATTCTACTTTCTGCTTCTGTGAGTTCCCATTTGCTTAGCTTTCTATGTGCTTACCATGAATCCAACCCCAAACCCGCCCGTTTTAAAAATCACATGATATCTATTTGGAAGATAAGTATTTTTAGTGACATTTTAAGTGAGCACAAACCGTTTTAGAAGAGTTATTTGAATAGAAAATCTGTAAAAATCTACACCAAAATGTTACTAATAGTGACCTTTTGGTAGAGGGATTACAGGTGACTTTAAATGTAAAGAGTACATGTAAATGTACAAGAATACATTGATTTTTTCTTTTAATAAAATGAACATGAATTACTTTATAATTATAAAAATTTTGAAACTGTTCACATTTTGAAGAAAAAAATGCAACCATAATGTGTTTAAAACCAATTATACCTGCTAACCCCAAAGAAATGAATTGTTTTCCTGCAGCTATGGGAGGTTTGAATTTTCCTGATCAGGCCCTCAGATCGAATGACTCTTAAGAAATCCAGTGAAATCAGCAGGTTGTGGTAAGGAATCCCTACGGATTGCAATTTAGAGCTCAGTTTGCACTTAACCACTGATTAATATTCCAGGTCTCAAGGTTGCAAGTTTCTGTTATGTGCAGCTCTTTCCCCCCTTATTTGGTTATACATAACTCTAAAAATGATAGGCAGGAGAGGTGTGCCAATGTTTTCCTGAAGGTTTTGTCCATTTCGGAGGAGGTTTGTACTCACTTATAGCAAGATTAGTGAACATTCTTCAGGAAGTTTATTTAAGGAAACACTTAAGCATAAATATAACATTCAACCTTGAAATAATATTATTCCAGTGTTCCAAAGCCAAAATAAGGTTAATTTTGTTTATATAATTTTATCTTAAGTTCTGGCTTATGCAAGTGCCTGATGGTCTGCATACTAATTACATGTAAAATAGAAAAAGGTCCATCCCAATGCAAAAGTTTATAGTTCTTTAAACATTATTTTAATATTTGTGTGATTTTAGTGTTGAATTTAATTGTTGCATTACAAATGTTGGATAAGGCTAGTGTAGATGCTTACGGCAATCTTAGATGTGATCCATAAATGGAATATACAAAAGTACGTATCTCCAGTGTATTTGCCAAAGCACATAGATTCCATCTGGGAGTAGCGTCGATAGTTCATCAGATCTCATTGGGAAAGTTGATAATTCATTTCTATTTTTAGAGATCACTAAGTTGATCTCCAAGAAAGGAAAACAGGATAATGGGGTCTCTGAGGGAGAGGCTAATGCCTCCTACTGTGCCAATATTCCTATTACATTCTTCAGTATTGAATCCTGTATGCCGATGACAGTGATCGGCCCAACGACATTTAATTCACCTGGTTTCCTTTGAAAACTATTTTGCGGGAAGTTATAAAAACGACGTTGTCTAATTCACATTTAAGTCACTACCACCCCGATATCGAATCTTGAAAGCTGACAAGTTGATATAGAGAGAATTACTTCAATTTTGATTTGTCAAAATATAGATGTAAAAAATCCTTCTAAAATGTGATTGTGAATTGCATCCAGGAGCATTTAAAAAAAATCAGGTAGTATTACATGCTATACCACTAGCACATAAAATTTATTTTGGGAATGCAAAACTTTTCAATATTATGAAATATTTCATTATAGGAAATTACCAAGGAATTATGTGTAGCTATATGATTCTTTACCCTGAAAACCCAAAGGAATCTACTGAAAAATAATTAGATATTAAAAAATTAATATTTAAACCTTGTCTAACTTTTCTATAATCTCTCAACAAGTAGTAAGAAATATATTAGAAAAAAGATCTCTTTACAATACTAAAAACAACTTTGCTAAGTTCAACAATGATCTATGGGATGCAGGTAAAGAATATATCAAAAGTTTAATAAGACATTAATAAAACAGATGAACAAATGCAAAGACATAACATGTCAAATCTTCCAGAGTTAATTAAAGTGCTATTTCAATTGTAATTACAGCAGGATTTGGGGGAACCATGACAAAAAAATTCTAAAATACATATTAAAGAATAAGTGTAGGAAAATAGTCAAGATCATTTGGAAAGGAAAAATAAAACAGTGACGAGACTTTCAGTACCCAGATATTTATTTGTCAATATGAATGGAGTCTACCATCATGATTCATCATAATTTGAATCTATCATCAGCCTACCAGAGGAGTGTTTACTTGTCACAAACTCTGTGCTTCCTCCCTGGCTCCGGATGCCTCTTCTGGAGCTTACACCTCTCAGTTGTTCCACTGGGAACCCTTCCTCCATGGTAAACAAAATTTCTCAAACAGCCACCATCATCAGTGAAGGTTTCCTTGGCTTTCTTTCCAAAATGGATACCTTGCTTTTCCAGGAGGACTTTGCTTCTTTCTCCCACAATCCTGTCCTCTGTGTGTGGGGGAGGGGGGCCGGGGGGGAGGAGTTGGGGAGAATAGAAGGGCAGCCAATGGTGAAGATACTCATACTACCAAGGTCCATGATCTCTAAATCCCAGGTGCAACTGTTTTTCTCTATTCAGAATCTCCCAGGGGCAGGAGAAAGAAGGCAGATGGAAGAGTAGTGCATCTTCCAGTGGGAGGATCCCAGGTTTGAGCTGAGGGATTCAGTAGTGAGTGGGCCTGTGTAATGAAATGATGGGCAGGCATCTCTGCCATGCTTGTTTAATTATGAGGGCTGGCAGCCACCTGGGAAAGAACCCAAGCTGTGTCTTCTACTCAATTTCAGATACAATTAGCCTCGCCTCTTAGAAGGGGAGATTCCCTGAGTTCCATGGTGATCCAAGTAACTATAAGTAAAAGCTGAAAAAAGTGTTTCACTAAACAATATAACTCACTGGATCCCAGGCTTTGGAAACCCTGAGACAGAGACTACACAAAGGAAGACAGCAAACAGAATTGTGCTGATTTGGAAACCTGAGGGCATGCATCAGGCAGAGCAGTGGGAGAGTCTCCAAGGTTTGTGCCTGGGGTAGCTGCAGTATCAGAGGTGGCCGCCTGTATTGGGACAGCACTGAGCCTACAGAAGCAGGTTTGTCCCACAGCATATGTGAAGCCCATGTTGGGGAGGACCTGTAATACTAGCGCAGAGTTAGAGCTCCAGCATGAGCAGGTTCAGGGTACACAGGGTAACATGTATTGTATTGAGAGTGTCTGTGTCTCTCTTCCCCATCAATAGAGGCCAGAGACCTGAACGAACAGAGTTTTAGCACAGGAGCCGGCATATGTTGCACACCCAGTAAGTTTTTGTTAGACTGGCAAGTATATTTTACCTTACCTTATATTACTGGATTCTTGTCT